CAACAGGATCAAACTGTTCCCAGATAACTGGGTAAGAACGGTCCCCCGGTATTTCCCCAGACCATACCCCACGCTCAGAGTCTAACTTGGAATGAATCTGAGCAACTTTGTCCTGAAGATGCTCTGAAAATTCCTCCGCACAGCCCTGCAAATGAACCCCCACATCCCCCTTGCTAAGGAAGCACCAAGTGATCCTAAACAGGGCCCCGGGCAGCATTCTGTGGATGCGATAAGGGCAGAGAAGCATTGATGCTTCGCCACCCTTATCGCCACAATGTAGGCCTTAACAGCGGCTCTAACCTGTGTTCGGTCGGATTCAGTCTTTGTTTTCCCCCAGCGGTGCTCTAGACGTCTCTTGACCCTTTTCAGCACCCTCAACTCCTCCGTAAACCACAGGGAGTGTCGGGGCTGATGTGGCAAGAAAGGTCGCATAGGCACAATCCTGTCCAAGGCCCCAGCTGCCTTCCTATTCCAAGCAGCAGCCAAGGCCTCCGCTGGACCGTGCAGCAGGCCCACAGGAATATCCCCCAGCTCCCTCTGAAACCCTGACGGGTCCATCAGGTGCTGGGGGCGGACCAATCGCATGGGTCCTGCCTCCCTGCGGAGGGGGGTGGCATAGGAGAAACTCAGGGTCACCAGTCTAGTCTTCTCTTGGGTTACTCTGGAATACTGCAATGGATTTGAATCTGTTCTAGAACAAATAAGTATTCAAGTACTCTTAAGTTGCCTAGTCAACATGGTGTGCCAGCCTTCTCTCCCCCAGAGTCCTCTTCTAAGTCTTAACTATCTCTTTTCTTCCTGCCAGCAGCCCCCTTTTACTTCCTCCCTGCCCACTTCAACTTTCCTGAGAGACATTCTCTGTGTGTCAAAAGTTTATTATCTGTTATTTTCCCAGGCTGCACTTATCAGAGTAGAACAAAGTGTATGTATGGACAGTCACATAACAGGATGGCAAGCAGTGCCCAGCTGCTGCATTTTTTCATCAACACTGCTGATCAGCCAATTGTACTGGAGAACTGTATGACTGGTCCTGAAATCACTTTCAGAAAAAGTAAGGTGCCACCAACATTACAATGAATTCCTTTTAAAGGCAGATGCTGATCAAAGTGCCTTCAGAGGGAGTCTACATATCTGAGAACATGGGCAGAGAAATGCCTCCTGTTCATATCAGTGGAATATACATGGGAGATTGCTGACTGCCATGGCAGACTGGTTAAGTCACTAACATTGATCACAAGAAGAATGGTTTCTCAATTCAATTTTAATGAAATCTTACAAGACACGGATGCCTGTCAGTCTGCTTGTGACAGTAGACAGGTGAAAACCTCCTCTCAATTCCAACTGAGCAGAAGAGATTGACACTGATAGGATAACTCTTTTCCTGTCTTTGGCAACACTATTCAAGGTGGCACACAATGGAATTTTTTAATTCAGGGAGAGGATGTGTGTGATTCTGAGTGTCCCATTCCAGATCAGGAGGTGTGAAAGGAACACCAGTGATAGCTCTCTAAACCTCTGGACATTGTCTCATTACTGCCCCAAGGCCCAGCATAGCTACAGTGGGGCAAAAAAGTATTTAGTCAGCCACCAATTGTGCAGGTTCTCCCACTTAAAAAGATGAGAGAGGCCTGTAATTTTCATCATAGGTATACCTCAACTATGAGAGACAAAATGGAATAAATTCTTTAAAAATCAGACAATGTGATTTTCTGGATTTTTTCCCCCATTTTGTCTCTCATAGTTGAGGTATACCTATGATGAAAATTACAGGCCTCTCTCATCTTTTTAAGTGGGAAATAAATTCTTTAAAAATCAGACAATGTGATTTTCTGGATTTTTTCCCCCATTTTGTCTCTCATAGTTGAGGTATACCTATGATGAAAATTACAGGCCTCTCTCATCTTTTTAAGTGGGAAATAAATTCTTTAAAAATCAGACAATGTGATTTTCTGGATTTTTTCCCCCATTTTGTCTCTCATAGTTGAGGTATACCTATGATGAAAATTACAGGCCTCTCTCATCTTTTTAAGTGGGAAATAAATTCTTTAAAAATCAGACAATGTGATTTTCTGGATTTTTTCCCCCATTTTGTCTCTCATAGTTGAGGTATACCTATGATGAAAATTACAGGCCTCTCTCATCTTTTTAAGTGGGAAATAAATTCTTTAAAAATCAGACAATGTGATTTTCTGGATTTTTTCCCCCATTTTGTCTCTCATAGTTGAGGTATACCTATGATGAAAATTACAGGCCTCTCTCATCTTTTTAAGTGGGAAATAAATTCTTTAAAAATCAGACAATGTGATTTTCTGGATTTTTTCCCCCATTTTGTCTCTCATAGTTGAGGTATACCTATGATGAAAATTACAGGCCTCTCTCATCTTTTTAAGTGGGAAATAAATTCTTTAAAAATCAGACAATGTGATTTTCTGGATTTTTTTTCTCATTTTGTCTCTCATAGTTGAGGTATAATAAATTCTTTAAAAATCAGACAATGTGATTTTCTGGATTTTTTCCCCCATTTTGTCTCTCATAGTTGAGGTATACCTATGATGAAAATTACAGGCCTCTCTCATCTTTTTAAGTGGGAGAACTTGCACAATTGGTGGCTAAATACTTTTTTGCCCCACTGTATATCTGCACCTGGAAACTGAATTGAGCACTCCATGAACAGATCTTCAAGGTTTGGTAGTACAGACCATCTTGATCCCAGGATGATTGGTCACCACCATTATCTATCCATTGACTTGGCATGACTTTGAACGTTGGAGTAAAATACAGCAACTTGAAGTAGTAGCAACAGGGGTCCTTGAACTATTGGACTTCCTACAAGAAAGGCTGGAGAGGGGGCAAGAAGCAATCAGGCTGTACAGACAGGCGACTTCTTTAGGCTCCTTTCTTCAGGATGATGAGCAAAGGAAACTACTTTCAGGTCACTTGTACATGCACTGATCTCTTATGAGATCTCACTCCTAGTGGTACATTTTGCTATATGAGATTTATCATTAGTACTCAAGGTCTTCATTACTGTTCCTCTCAAGCTCATTTCAAAGATTTCCATCAATATTCTTACCTGGAAGCCTTGGATTGGTGGGCTACAGAGATAGAGGTGCTATCCCTGCTTTATACCCTTCATTTCCAAATTCCATTGAGCACAAAATTGTGTTACCTACCTGCAGCCCAGACCCACCCAATCTGAGGATGCACCTGGCTCAAGCTGGATGTGCTCAGGGCTCTAGCTACTTCAAATGAATATTGGAGGGTGAAGGACTGATGGTTTGTCTCCAACAAAAAAGGAATCGGGAGGAGAGTTTCCTACTCCATAATTAACGGGAATGGTGAATTATCTTGGAATTCACAACAGCAATTCACAAAGCTCTCTGTAGGCAGGTAACTGCATCAGCTTTCTGTCTTAAAAGGCAGAACCATGAATAAAGGTTCTGCCAAGGACCCCATGAATAAATATTATAAAACATTATAAGAGAGATAGGTTTGCCTCCTCTGATACGGACTTTGGCTGTTCCAACTTGAGAATACTGCTACATTTTTCTGAGAGCTACATCTTCAGTGACAAAGAATAGTAGTTAGACTTATATGAAAGACCTTTCTGGTCACCAGAAGATGGACACAACAATCCCATTATACTTAGAAGGGGAAATAGATAAGAGAATATCTACATGGCTAAAAGATCAAGATCAAGATACAAGATACTTTATGGTGTTATGTACTACATTGTTCTCTTGTTTCCATGTATCTTATCAGTTGCAAGTCTGCTATTAACGTGATAAAGGAGTTGAACCATACTTAGCCAAAGGAACAGGAGACTGGAGGGAGGGGTTTCCTCCAAGAAGAGGCCTTAAGCCTTGCCTTCATCTTCCAGTGAGTAGACAGTTCACAGTAAGTTTGTTTACCTTCCTAATGGGAAAAGGACTGAAACCTACTTAATTATTGTGGTGGATTAAAATCACTACTGTGCTGACAGTTATTAAAGGGGATAAGCCTTGGAGTTTCTGCCGCCAATATAGCACAAAACCTAAAATTGCAGCTCATTAGTTAAGGTAATGACAATTAAGTTCTTTTTCCCACCAACCAGTTTTATTCTCAACATGACAAGTATGATGCAGCTTTTGCCTGCCTATTCAGCTGGCACAATCACTTCCATCATTGTTTTGAACTTGCAGCCAATCGTACCTTTCACTTCTTTTTATACTGTGAAGAACGTGCATCAAGAGACAAATGCAGATATCCAGTGTCCCACTATCTGTTTCACATCTGTAACCATCATCAGGATAATGGTGCAACTTAGACTTTTTTGTGTATGTGCAGTTACAACACAGAGTAAAATACCAAGAATCAAAGTACTAAATCACAAACAAAGCAAAGGCAGAAGCATCTTTTCTGCAAAAGCAAGTATGTCCACATTAAAAGATCTTTATTTTAGGACCATCTCTCTTGTGAAACCACAGGATGGCAGTCACCACATAAATTTGACATACTGTCCTAGGGAAAACATGCCTCAGAATTCTGAATAAATAAAGTTAGAAAGCCCAAGTTATATACAAATATCTTAGGCAAATATGTTTACAAATCTATGTACAGTAAAACAAATGTAAACAGTTAATGCAGCAAAGGGGACACAGGAAAGGGATGGCAAAATCCAAGTTATGAGTAGCAATGTGCCCCTAGCCTACCCTGGCTTTAATTCCTTTCTCCCTCCTTTGCTTTTGGGCAATTTTCACCAAGCAGCTAAAGTCCAATCCACAGTTTTCTTGAAATAAAAATAGGGAAAATCAGCTTAGTAGGATAAAGCTGACTGGGAAGGAATTGCTGAACCGGGGGTATTTCTCCATTTTAGAAATAAACTTTGGCATAACTGCATAATATATTTCTTATGCTCCATAGGGAGATGCCATATCTAAATATTCTCCATGATGCACAACCCAGATCTTTGGCAGGGTGCTGTTAGGTACCAAGACCCCTCACAGAAACTTGTTATAAATTCATCCCAAACCCATCCACTGGCCATCCACTAAACCTTCCCTTGAAAATGAACTGACTTCTGCAGAAAATAAAAAGGGGGGAAGAGCAGGGGTCTTGTGTACAATGTGAAAGGTGTGGGACACCCAGCATCAAAGCAGTCCCTAGCTAGCCAACATCCTAAACAGGGGAGGCGGAAAAAAGGAAGTGATTTGGGCAAGTGCAACTCCTTCATCCCGTAAGAGAGACATCAGTGATGACCATGTTAAAGAATGTCCACGATGGAAATAGAAGAAAATAGACTGTATTAACAAGGAGTGCTCTGTATGTGCTTGGCTTTCTGGGCAGTTTCTGGGTTCTGCAACACCCACTCATCTCCAGCAGGGGGTGCCAACAGAAAAGTATCACAAGCAGCTATTTTCTTATTCCTTCAAGAACCAAACTCAAGTCCTATCATGGCTTTGCAATCCATTCATACGCTCAGAGGAAGCATGCCAGGTGCAGATGATGGTCTGGATGCTCCTAGACCTGATGGTGGGCCTTGGTCAAAGCCATTGACTGCCCTACAGAAGAAAAAGAATAAGGGAAAATGGTTAACAAGTAGCACTGACAAGTTATACCTCCTCTCTAACAATAGTAACACAGGATATGTTAGTCCTATGACGACAGCAAGGAAAACTGATTAACCCCCAGAACTCAAGCAACAAAACTAAAGCACCACCTATATATCTCAAGTTCTCTAGAGAGATAACTTAAATGAAGGGTAAATGAAAAGGCAACTTTAAAAAATAAACAATTTGAGGCTGCTTCACTGTGAACATGTGAGGCATAAGCACCTGGCTCATCAGGAGATACTGCTGTCTGCTCATCCAGGCACAACCCAAGTATGCTAACTTGCTTTAGTATGTTCCTTAGAAACCTTGACTTCCTATTAGCTAAGCCAGCCTCTGTTTCCACTGCTTTGTCTTTTACATTTGATAAAGATGACACAGGAAATTGACACAGTGACTGCTACGTATCCGAAAGCTACCCTGCCTGAGAATGTGACCACCTCTTTTGCTGCAATTCAGCCTGACAATACAAAGACTAGTGGGATACTAAGATGCTCATAGTCGACCCTTTACAAAGTTGTAAATCAAAGCTACGATTGAAGTATTGCAGAGTAAGTAAAATGATTTATGTGATGCAAAAACTAGCTCCTATAAGAACAGTTGTAGAAAGCTATGCTAAGGAGGATGGACTGAGATCCTTTGGAAAAAAAACTGAGGTATGATGAAAAAGTGTTACATTATCTAACCCTTATATATTTCAAATAAATCAGCATAAACTGCCTTTTATCTACATTTTTATTCTCTCTGTTCAGAATGACTGATATTTGAAACTATTGCAGAATCAGAGATATGAGATTTCTGTCTGGAAACTGGATTCCAAAATCCCAGCGTGATTATACAAATTTCTAGGATCCCAGTCTGACCTGTTCCAAGCAACTAAGAGTTTTGTGCAATTCATGCATAGTCTTCTGTACCTGTATTTTTAGGTTTGTGACTGATTTTAGACCTTAACATGCATTGCTCAACCAGACACCAAAAATATAAACATATTGCTGAAATGAAATTCCAACTTGTGGTTCAAACATTTTCCCAGCAACATTCCATTACTGGACCCTGGTTATTTTGACCCACACTGCATCTGGAAGCTGCATCTCAATTATGGAAATTCATAAGACCTAAGATTGGAGTAGAATCAAAACCGTTAGCCTATATTGATCAATTGTACAATTCATCAGCTCTAGTTCACCAACTGTAGGTCATCAATTCTAGCAAGCATAATAATTAAATCCAAGGGCAGTTGGGTTTTCCCAGAACAAGCTAAATGGTGATAAAAATCTTGAATTTTTTTTTTCTATCTTGCTAGTATTCCAAAACTACCTTCAGACAAGTAAACAGACCCATTCTTATTATTAAACAATGAGGAAACCACACTGTTAGCAATACAGTCAAGAACTGAAACACCCACACACAAGAAAGAAAAGAACTGAAACAAAAAACTGCAATTGAAGCCATCTACCCAGCCACACCTGATACTGTAGATTCCATATCAATCAACTCATGGCAGGTAACAGTACTAACAAAGGCTGCTAGTACACACAAGGTATGCGGTCTGAACGAGACAAAATGACACCCCCCCGCAATCTCCCATTTATTCAGTGGAAATTATGGTCATTTTAGGGAGAACTGAAAAGAAACCCTTATGGATTATTTTCTTTTAGAATGAATGAAATACTTTAAAAATTGTTCTGGCCATGCCTTATACTCTTATACTTGTCTAATTTAGTAAGCTATTAACAATTTTTGTGTTGCAAGCAGTTATCTAACTCTCAAAAGTTTGCTTTGGATGCCTGCATCTTCTGTAACAGGTGACAAAGCAAATATGTTAGGAAACATACATGTTAAATCAAGAAACAAGCAAAACATGCAAAGGCAAAGAACAAATTATTACATTTTATTTAACTGTCCAATGTGCTCAATTTCATTTTTATTCCAACTTCTGCAATAATCAGTTATATGAACTTCCTGTATGCCTGACAGTCACTTATGTCCTAGTCACCTTGCAGCTTGACTATTGCAATATGGTCTACACGGGGATACCTGGAAGCTTCAAATGGTCCAGAACACAGTGGTGCACGCACTGATGGACATGCCTTGGTATGCCCATGTGACACTGCTGCTCCACGAGCTGCCCTGCTTATCAGTATGCTTGCAGGTGCAATTCAAGCTGCTGGTTATGACCTATAAAACCCTACATGGCCTAGGGACTGCCTACAGTGGGGCAAAAAAGTATTTAGTCAGCCACCAATTGTGCAGGTTCTCCCACTTAAA